AAAAATGCAAGAACTTATTAGGGAATCGGGTGATGGTGATGTTCTTGGGACCTCAAATCCTCAAACATTTAGGGTAAATCAACAATGAGCGCAACGAGTAAGTATAGCTAGTGGGTGCGTAATTAGTGGCATGCATGATCAACTTGTTCATCGTTAGTGTTAAAAATGTTATCGTATGTAATCATATTTAAATAAAATATTAATACTTTTTATTAATTTTTTATATAAATTTATTGTTTTAATTAAAAAAATTATTACACTCATCTGTCAGATGAATTGGCGCAAACTATTAACCTTTACACACAAACTCCAATTGTTTTAGTTAGGTCTATAAGAGGCGTCAATTCAATTGATGTCAACACTTTTTTAAGGGATTCGTTAATTCATCTGACAACAATTCTGCGTTCTCATTTTTGTTGTTGTTTGAAAATAGGTTATTTTAAGTAGTTGGAAAGGTTAATTATTTGAAGAATTATTTTGAAAACGTTGGTTATTTAGATAAAAAGTTCTAAATTTGAAACTATATAAGTTGTCAAAATGGGTTAGCCCATATGAACCGGCCGCCAGTCCCAAAAAATTATAGGGTTTGGACTTTAAAATTAGAGTCCATATTTTTTTGGTTTTTTTTAATTCAGTCTTAAAAAGTCCGCTACACATTAGGATTAACTCATATGGGCCGTGAGTAACCCATTAGACCCACATCGCTATAAATTTAAAAAAAATTATATTAATACTTATATTGTATTACTCTAAAATAACACATTAATTTTTCTCAACTCACTAAACTTTATCTCTATTATATTCTATCTTTCTCTTTTAAATATTATACATTAATATAATCAACACTCTTTTTTTGTATTTTATTAGTTTCTCTTATGTTAAATATTCAAGTAATATTTTATACAATCTAAAAATGTATTGTATTTAAAAAAATATTATAATATTTATAAAAAAAAATATATAATACTTAAAAATGTATTATTCTTAAAATAATATAATTTTTAATTTTATTTATAATAAATATTGTGGTCTTTTTATTTTTATTTTTTATTTAATTTTTTTTATTTAGAGCCGGTAACTCAAATCCCATATAGGATAGGATTCAAATAATAATCTTTGAATCAATATTAAAAATGAGTTTTTTTAGACCATCTCCAACGGTGGTTCTTTAAATTGGTTTGCCAACTTGGCATTGAAATTGTCAATAAAAAGTTGTTCCACCTGGTGAACGTTCCTTGCATAAGCAACGGTTCTTCATTTTTTTATTATTAAAATAATTATTTAACTTGTTGGTTTTATTATTTTTTTAACTTTTTTTATTTATTATAAATATAAGTTTGTTGCAAAAATTTATAACAATCCTATTTTCTCTCACTTTTATTTACTCTTTAATTTTAAATTTCTCTCTCACAATTTCATTATTTTATTCATAAATTATTATTTTCAATTTTATGTTTAATTTTAATTTTATGTTTAGTTTATATTTATAGTAATTAAAATTTAAATATTTAAATTATAATTTTAAATAAAATAAATTTAATATAAATAATATATTTAAGTAAAGTAGTAGGATCCAATATGGATTCTTTGAGGTTGCACTATTGGAGTGAAAATTGAATAAGTTATTTTAGAAGAGTGGGTCCCACAAAGAACCTAAAAATGGATTGCACCATTGGAGACAGAGACCTTTGTTTGCATGACTATAGAATTGTTGATAATATAGTTCGATGACTCCAATCAGTCAAATGCCATAATCAATTCAATTAGCTTCTTCTTTGATCTCTCAGTGAGTTGTAAGAGATAATTCTATAGGCCATTTTGCTTCAGATTTGACTTATTTTTCTTCCTTAATACTCCCTTAGCCATTGAAAGATTTTATGTTGTCACCGGAACCATACACTCACTCTAAGAGTCTCTCGGTGCATGAGTTTCATAGACACCATTAACTTTATGCGTGAAACCTATAATCCCATAATTCCCATCAATGTATAAGCAAATATAAAGGCATAATTCATACACTAAACACAATGCAGAGCTTATTAATACAATTTCAACATGAAACTACCTACATTATGATTTCAATGAAACACACTCACTACCGAGAGTCTAAAATAGCAATGTTTTATGACATGACATGATTAACAACACTAAAAATATTCAAACGTCTACGCTACAACATTTTGCTAAATTAGAAAACATCAGTTTCCAAATCCAATATGTACATTGTATCAAAGTAAAGCCTATCAACAATGATACTGATAATAACAACAGTTCAGAACGGTGTTACACATAATCATACATATGCTACATTGATATACTAAATTATTTAGCACAACACACTCCTCTTTCTTTTTTATTCTCTCTTTGGCAACAACATCTCACTAAGTTAACTGTAACAATTAATGGATAAATCTTAATCCATTATAGCTGAACACATACACAAGACTAATTGGAATTGAAATTTGAATCTAACCTTAACCTAATCATAATCACCACTCACTCATTCAGTGTCACTATTATTGTTATGGTTGTTGTTGTTGATGTTTTCATTGATGTTGTTATGATGATTGCTAGGGTTACCATTACCAGTAACACCTTTTCTTCTTCCAAGCTTGAGCTGTGAAATCTCCAACTGTGTTTTCATGAAAAACTGCATTCTCTGCAACTCCAAATCCTTAGAAAACTTCATCCTCTGTTTCTCCATCTCCACTACCTGCTGCAACTTCGATGTCTCTGCTTGTTCATAAGCTTCACCGAATTTCACAATCGCCTGAGTCAATTCCCTCACCGCACTTCCCCAACCTTTTCCTTTGGTTCTCCCTTCTCCACCAGTTGGATTCACTTTCGCCCTCTTCTTCTCGTGACTCTCCGGCGGTAAACTGTCACTTGAAACTGGCGATAACGCTTCTCTGTCCGATGAATTATCAGAATCCACTGCCGGAGCTCGGGGTCGGAGCTGAACCTTCTGGTAATTCAACTGAACCTGTGGATGTGGCTGTTGCTTCTGATTTTTCTTTTGAGAATTATTAAACTGATTCGCAACGCTGCCAGGGCGAAGATTTACCGGAATTCCGAACGGAACTTTTTGCGGTGGCAAATTACTGTTTCCGGAAGTGCTGGCACCTGTGACGCCGGTGACCTTGGCGGTTGGACCGATCAGGTGTTCTAATCGATCGTAAAACGGCCATTTACTGGCTGCAACGCCACCTCCGGCAGCGATCTTAGCTTTCTCCGATTTGTACTTCTTCTTAACTGTATCGATCCGATTCTTACACTGAATATCAGTTTTCGGCGCCTTCAAATAATCCTCTCTCCCGTTAACGATCTCCGCCACCTCCTTCCAATGCTTCTGCTTCAGATTCCCTCTGCTCAATTCAAGATACCTCTCTCCCCACGCTTCGATCAGCACCGCCGTCGCACCTTCGCTCCAGCAATCCTCCCTCCCTCCACCGTTGCTTCCTCTGGCCTGATTCTGAATCGGAAGCGCTAATGCATAGCTGTTCACCACCGGCTGTTCTTGCGGTGCAGGCGCCGCAACCGTCACCGAAATCCGACCAATTGCTCCCGGCGATGACACCGGAGATCCGCTCAACGGTGATGGATTGGAGTGGATCTCGTCTTCGTCGTCCATAACAACCTCACCGCCGATTCACCGAGAAAAAAAGAGAGAGAAAGTAGTTAGAGAGAGAGAAATAGTTTAGGGTTTTATTTATTTAATCATTTATTTATTTTTAAATTTTGGCCGGCGAGAATCAATATTACCGACGTCTTTTCGTGGTTTGTTACGTTTAATTTTGTTTTTGTATTTTATTTTTTCGATATTGGTAACGTTTTTTGACGGAAGAGGGTGAGTTGACGGTGACCGTCGACACGTGGGTGATGTTAACGGAAGGAGTGTTGACGTGGATGAATATGATTGGATTGGTGAGAAAACTCCGTCACCGGCTCAGTTGGTATCTGGTGTTACTTCACTGCCCTGGTTTTGTTCACGATAAACTCTACGTTAGTTACGTTTCTGTTTCCGAATTACCCATCAAAACTGCATTTTTTTCCGGAGATATTCCTAATTTATTCTTTCATTTATTTTCTAAAATTCAATTTTTTGAGATATTCCTAATTAATCCCAGTTGTTATAAATTAAATTGATTTTTCGAACTTTTAGGAGAGAGGGTAATATAGAAAAGGAATCGTAGGTTTAGGAAAGATAACGTAGAGGGAAACATTTCGTGTTTAGTTGCTATGTAAAAATAAAAAATGAAAATTTCGTGTTGAGTAAACCGTGGGTACATCCAAAGTATGGGGGAGTATGGCGCTTTGCATATAGTTTCTTTCATGTCTCAATCTCAAATCTTAAAAGGGCATGGAATCATACGAATGGAGAGACGCTACTACAAATGGAATGAGTTGTGGTATGGTGTGGATTCATGCAAATTGAAGTTATATATTGTGTTGAGTTCTTCGTTTCGATTCAAATTAATATTATAAAAATTATTTTTCTATCTCTTAAACTTCTCAAATCCCTTGAAAAAAAAACTCATAAAAGTATTTTAGGATTTTAAAATTTAAAATGGTTAGATGCTCAACAAACACTCTTGAAATAGAAAACTCTATTAAATCTAATGAAATTCAACATGTTATATGACAAACAATAGCAACAATTAGAAAGATTGTTTAAATACAAATATGATCACACATTAAACAAATTAATAACTTGTTTCTCAAGCTTAAACATAGACACCGTGATCTAATCAAATGTCTTATGATAAATTAAGCTTGAACATATAACAATGACATATTTGATTAGAATATTGATCAACTCAATAAGTTATAATGAGCGAGAGTGACCAAATATTATGAACGTAGTTCTAACATTATTGTCGTTTTGTAGTTCTATGTTGTTGAAGCGAACTCGTCCATCATCGTCAATTGAAAAACGTCGATACTCAATGTTGACTACTCATTGTTTGTGTTATGGTGGTTGAGACAAAGATTCATTTAGTCTAGTTGGTGCTTGACATACGACAATATAACATCGACATTGATTTTGAACAAATAGGGGAAGAGTCTCATTGTTGTATTCAACTGCACCTAAGTTATAGTTCATTCTAAAGAGGTATGGGTAAAAAGAGTTTATTATTTTTTATGTGAACTTTATATGAATTAAACACATCATTTTATACAAGTTCACGAGCATTCTAGTTCACATAAAGTGTCGGTGCAATTTAGACAACACATAAGAATCAAATGACAAGTTACATGTAATACATCATATTCTTTTAAATGCTCATTTTTTTATTAACTGAGACAAATTGAATAATTAGTGTGTTAAGAAAAGATTACACCTTAATCAAGTTTCTAATCCTTACTAATTAGTAAAGAATGACATTTGGATATTTGAAGGATTTGGTAAGGGTATTGTACATCCCGAAATTCTCTGAGGCCGAGCTTATAGAAAATCGAGTACGAAGAGACAAGTAGGTCGGGTAACCCAAAGCATAAACAAGTAGGAATCCGACTAGGGTTCACACACCGACAGTATAAACATGTTGGTCTTGTAGCAGAACTCGGACAGTAGAAACAAGTTGGCTCTGATCATATGATCAGTGGAAAGAAGTCATATGAACAGTCGCAAATGGATGGTTATGAAAATTTTCCAAGATGGCAGAGAGTTATAAAAGCTGAGAGAAAAAACGTTATGCGTTGATTATGAGAGGCGGTGAGCGTTATTCAGAGTTGCTTTAACGAGGGACGCGAAGAAACACTCACTGAAGGGTCATTTATGGACGCAAGAGTATAAAATGAGACTTTCTCACTGAGAAAAAAAGGATAAAAGAAACACAACAACAGACATTCAACCAATCATTTGAGGCTCTCCCTGATTAATCTCGGGAAAGTCAATCTTTTAGTATTTTTAGCAAGAACATTTGGCGCCCACTATGAGGCCTTAGTAAAATATTCTCAGGCCACACAGAAAAACATCAAAATCACTAATAGCCCAGTTACACGATGTTCGGATCCTCTCCCAATCAAAGTGATCCACCTATGCCACCAGACTTAACTCAATTACTTGCAGTGGTGCCCATCAAAAAAATGAAACATTACAAGATAACGTCCATATTTTTCAAATATAGAGTCAGCAAGATGGGGATGGAGTGGAAGAGATCCTGGATTCCCAACCATTGTCCGAGGTGATTTGGGATGATCAGGTTTCAAAGAACTTCAAACCACCATAGTTGGTGTCTTTTGATGGTAAAACAGACCCACAGGAACACGTTATTGCAATCAACAATTAGATGGAAATAGTAGGGGCTTTCGACTCCCTTAAATGTAAATTAATGACAGTTACCTTTAAGGAAGGGGCTCGACGATGGTATATGTGCTTACCTAGATTTTCGACTCCCTTGTCAACTACCAGTTTATTCAGCGTTCGACAAGGGCACTCAGAATCTTCAGAGAATATCTGGTGAGGTTCAATGAAGAAACCATTAAGGTGTCTCATTCGAATCAGAAGATGTTTGTGGGGGAATTTAAACATGGCCTCAAAGTTGGATAGTTTAATGAATCCCTAGCACAAAAACCATCATCCAACATTGATGAGGTTATTACCAAGGCAAAATGATATATCAAAGCGGAGGAGAGCAACATGGAAATGAGATCTTGAGACGCTAAGGAGAAAATGCGAGCTAAAGAAGTTGGAGTTGGTCATAGAAAAGGGTACCCTAAGCCTAGGACTAGGGACCGAACAACAATGAGACCGTCATGGTGACCATATATAAAGAGGATGAATATATGCCTCTGAATACTAAACGTGAACATATTTTGAGAGAAGTGTATCACCTCAAATTGCTCGTCATCGTAGGGCGCCCAAGAGGAGTCCAATCCGTGATAGGGAAGGACAAGAGTGCATGGTGTGCATACCACATACTCCATGGTCATCACACAAAATATTGTCATCAGCTCAAAAAACAAATCAAGATCTTAATTCAGATAGGCTAATTATTGTCCTATTTGAAAGAAGTCGGTGGGGATCCGAGAAAGAGAAGTCCTCCCAGAGGGAATATCAGCTCCAAAAATCCTCCGCAAAAGAAGGGAAAGAGCCCGAATGAGGTCTTGAAACTCGAATAACCCTTCATACATTAAACACCATTACGGGAGGATTCATAGAAGAAGGAAAATCCAGTTCAGTTAGGAAAAGATATGCTCAGACAGTGATGCATCTCAGATAAAATCTGCCTTCAGAAGAAGATGAACACTCGATCGTAGTTGGTTTTTCTAGAAAATATGTTGAAGAAATATTAGCTCACGAGAACGACACAATGGTAATTAAAGTGAAAATTCAGGATTAGAGCGTGAAACAAGTTTTAGTAGATCCGGGAAGTTCAATAGATGTTTTATACTGGGATGCATTTAAGGGCATGAATTTCGATATCTCCGAGATATTACCTTTTAAAGGTACTTTGGTTGGTTTCTTTGGAGAACAGGTGCAAGTTCTAGGACATCTGCCGATGATGACAACTTTTGGCAATGATGATAATGCAAAAAGTATCAAGGTTAGGTGTGTGATTATCATTGTTGCATCTCTTTACAACATTATTATAAATATACCTTCCTTTAATAAGTCGGAGGCGTCATTATCCAATTTATACCTCACACTAAGGTATCTTATTGAGGATGGTCGTGTAGGAGTGATAAAGAGTGGCTGGGGACTAGCAAGAAAATGTTATAAAGACAGGTTGAAGCTAAAAAAGAAAGCTTAAGTTAATGAGCCAATAAAAGATTATCAATTACAGGTTAATTTAATGGACGTTAACCTAAGAAAGAACCCAGCGGAAGATAGTCTGTCATCCATCAAGGATGTAAAGAGAGTACAAATGGGTTCCCAAGGAATTGCCACGAGATTCAATATTAAAGAAAGGCAAATAGGATTTCACAAGGAAGATCTGGTATGGAAAAGGTGACTGACCCTAAGAAAAAAGGCAAGCAAGCCCCGAATTAGGATCAAACTTTTCAAATAGGTTAAATGTTGAATAATGAGGCTTATAAGTTTAGAGGGTGTTGAATTACCTAAAGCTTGTATCTAACTAGCCTCAAGTTTTATTTTAGCTAAAACATGTAATGAACATCGTGAATAAAGATTGTGGGAATGCACTCTTTTCCCTTGCACGGGAAAAGGTTTTTAATGAGACACCCATAGTTAAAACAATTGTATTGTAAATGTATAGAGCACACAAAGCAATCCTAGGGCATGATCCAAAATTATATCCGAAGTGGGTGAGTAAACATCTATAGACCAGGAACTTTCCACATAATCGGTTGCGGTAGGGCTATGTAAATTGAAACCACAGGCCTAACCGAAGTCCAAGTTAACCTATGGCATAACCGGTTGCGGCTGGGTTATATAAATTGAAACCTCTAGCCTAACTAAAGTCTAAGTTAATTGAAACCTCTGGCCTAACTAAAATCTTAGTTAATTGAAACCTTTGGCCTAACTAAAGTCCCAGTTAATTGAAACCTCTGGCATAATCGAATGCGGCGAGGCTAAGTAAATTGAAACCTCCAGCCTAACTGAAGTCCAAGTTAATTAAAACCTCTAGCATAATCAATTGCGGCCAGGCTATGTAAATTGAAACC